AGAGAAGAGAAGAGAAGAGAAGAGAAGAGAAGAGAAGAGAAGAGAAGAGAAGAGAAGAGAAGAGAAGAGAAGAGACACACACACAGAGAGGCAATTTGAAGGGAGGCACCACACTTGACTGGATAAAGTTTGTGTGTTTGAATAGAAGGTAATTCTTGTGTCAGCAAAGTGGCTGTTCAAGGTGAAGAAAACACCCAGTTCTTTGGTGTCAATAATCCTGAAGTTATGAAACTGACAGTTCTCAATTATTAGGCTGAAGATCATTAGAACTTCTGCAACAGAAGATTCCCTAGAATCAGGCATTTGTTGATTCCCAGAAATGGGCATAAAGTTGTCAATTTCCCAGGAAGGGGTGTGTGTGTGTGTGTGTGGAGAGAGGAAAAAAATGTGTACACATTCACTCTTCCTTAAATTGAACACAACAGCATATAATTTTATCCTCGCAACCACAGTGTTCTGGGTGTGGAAGATAATCATGTCCACATCTTAGCCATGACCTTCTAAGACATTCATCATAGTTCTACTATTGTGAGTGAGAACTGACCAGTTCTGGAGAACCGGTAGCAGAAATTTTGAGTAGTTCGGAGAACTGGTAAATACCACCTCTGACTGGCCACACCCCCATCCATTCTTTGCCTCCTGAATCCCAACTGATCGGGGGGAAATGGGGATTTTGCAGTAACCTTCCCCTGGAGTGGGATGGGAATGGAGATTTTACAGTATCCTTCTCCTGCCACACCCACCAAGCCATGCCACGCCCACCAAGCCATACCCACAGAACCGGTAGTAAAAAATTCTTAAACCCACCACTGGTGAGAATAGATGATGGTGAAGACCAGTGGACCAACTGGCAGAACAGGCAAAAAAGCTGCTCTATATCAAGTTGTGTAGCTCAGTCTCTAAAGTATTCTTGTACTTTGGAGTGAGAAACACCCCTAAAGGCAACTGAAATAATGTGATTAGGTCAACAACGTAGAATATGGAGGAAACTGGAGCCTCACCATATCTTTCTATCACATAAGAATCATGAGTCAAACCAATACAGTAGAGGCTAATGATCTTTAAAAACCCAGAGGGAAGTCATCTGAACTGAACTGAACTGAACTGAACTGAACTGAACAGAGCTGTATTGGTTAGTCTGAACTGAAAGAAATTCATTGGTGAATGTCAACAAGTGAACTCTTTGGTCAGTTAGGGACTTGAATCTGAATCTCTCATTTTATCAGCTTAACATCTAGACTACTCTACCAAGACAAATTGAAACATTTGAATCATGGGAAGAAAAGCAGCAGCTCAAAACGATCAATTTCTGCTACTGCCAGCATCCCAAGATGAACTCACCAAACAGCATTTTCTCATTTGTAACAAGGAGGTTTTGCAGTAACAGAGATAATGGTTCGGAAAGAAAATATATTGAAGGACAACAGAAAAACCGCAAAGTGGAAGGATAACCAAAAAAAAAAAAAACAAGTGGGAGGAAAAGACAGGGTTAGGGTTGTAAAATAACAGAGCTCTGTGTTAAAATTGCACCCCATGTGAAATGAATGATGCATCTTTAAGGGGTTTTCTTTTTCCATAATCACATCTTTCAAAGCACTTTTACCTAGCCTTTTAAACTAAGAATGATATTAGAAGATTTTACTAGCAATGAAAATATGTGTGTGGGGGTGGGTGGGGTTCTATTTGCTTGCCCATTATCAAATGATAAGCAATAGAATCTGCCCATTCATTGCAGACCCTCAAGCATAAGTATTTATACACTCACCAAAATTCAAGAAGCTTCCCTGGATATTCAGCTTTTGAGTGTCATGTTCTCCTGACACTACTGCTTTTATCTAGATCTCTGTTGGAATCTGGAGGAAACCTGGGGCAGAAGGATGAAGTATTTCACTTCCTTGTTGTGTAACTATGGCCAAGCTAAGCTGGGGGGCATTTAGAATGAAAGGGGAGATAGCAAGTTATCATGCTATCTGTGATCTTGACATAGAAAGTATCCAGCAACACTTAAAACTTCATAAGCAGCAACCAACATCTTTATAATTCAAACAATACTCCTTTTAAGTTTGTTTCGGCTCTTACAGGAAACTTTAAGAAATCTGCAGATATGGTCCCTTTATTATCATGGATTCTTTATTGACTAGAGACATTCCCACGGATGTTGATTTAACCAGAAAGTATTGGCATTGCGTGCAATGATTGCTTTATAGCTCTTCAGCATTTAGAACTAGCATCCTGCCTTAGGGCTGATTTTGCCAGGGGGCTAAAGAACAAAAAATAGCTGGATAGAATATAGCTACAGCAATATGTGAACAGTAGTGTGTAATGACATTTGGAGGTGATTAGCAGTTTGGACAAATACCCAGAATCATAAGCAGGAAGACGTAAGCAGGAAGACAACTTGAGTAGGATTCTGTAAAGGTTGAAGGAGATGACGTGAAAATTTCAGAATCTCAAACAAGTGAAAGCAATGTCTGCAGTGTTATTAGACAGAAAATGGCTTGATGTGTAGCTTACTCATTCATGAGGGGTGGGGTGAATGAATTATGTTGTGAGGAGTGAGTTAGCCTAGAAAAATTTGGTCTACGTTGCAATAGTCATGAATTGCCACGTGGATAAAATTATGCCGGAGCAACTGAGCACAGTCAAATACCTTTCAATAGCACAATTCAACTTTGTCGCCTTATATTTTGATTAGAGAGAGTATTGTTTTCATGCCTTCAAATTTGTATGTTCCGCAGCACATCCTTATAATTTATGTTCCTCCTTTTCCATAAATATGATCATGTACTAATACTTAGTGCAGTGGTGGAATTCAACTGGTTCTATCCTGTTCGGGCGAACCTGTCACTGCGTTAAGTGTTTGCCAGCTGAGTTCCATCCTAAGATTTACGGTAGCCTGGCCAGAGAACCTAATCTGTAGTTGAGATAAAGCTGGTCTTGTGAGACATTGGACTACTGCACATGTCTACATTCTTTCTTTTCTAACTTCCTGATTTTTCCTTTGTCCGGTAAAGATGTAGTTATCTAGTTTTGTTTGTTTTTATAATAAAATGTTTCTTAGAATACATTCAGGTTTTCTTTCTTTGAAAGTATACAGCATGGAAAACAAGATCCAATCACCTCTAATTAATTACAGTTTCCCCAGAGCGGGAACGAGGCTGATTCATGCTTTGACAGAACCGGTAACGGCAGCTGTGGGAGGCTCCGCCCACCCGCCTGGATGTCATCATGTCCCATATTTTACCCTCTGCACATGCACAGAAGATACGTGCGTGCCAGTGGTGGGTTTCAAATTTTTTTACTACCAGTTCTGTGGGTGTGGCTTGGTGGGCATGGCATGGCTTGGTGGGTGTGGCTTGGTGGGCGTGGCAGGGGAAGGATACTGTAAGATCTTCATTCCCACCTCACTCCAGGGAGTGAAGTCCCCATTTCCTCCTGATCAGCTGGGACTTGGGAGGCAGAGAATAGATGAGGGAGGGGCCAGTCAGAATTTTTACTACCGGTTCTCCAAACTACTCAAAATTTCCGCTACAGGTTCTCCAGAACTGGTCAGAACCTGCTGAAACCCACCTCTGGTGCATGCTCACATTTGCGAACCGGTAGTGAAGGTAAGTGAATACCATCCCTGACTTATTGCTAAAGCTTTACAACTTTCTGTTGACCAAACCTAGTTTGGATTGAATAAAGCAATTTTTGGTTCAGATCTTCGTGCTTCATTTCAGGATTTCAGATCATTTTGAAGAATCATTCACTGAAACCAGGAGTTCAAGCAATCCTTTCTAGTCCAAGGAAATCTGAGTTCTTTTCAGATTTAGGTCCTATCCTCATAGATCTGATCTCTCATTAACAATTAACCTTCAGTCGACCCAGACTTTACTAAGCCTTATTGTTCTTTGCTCACTGAAAAGTGAACACACAGGAAGTCCTCAGCGTACGACCAGAATTGAGCACAAAATTTATGTCGCTAAGTGAGAAATTTCTTAAGTGAGTTTTGCTCCATTTTATGACTTTTCTTCCCACATTTGTTAAGGGAATCACTGCAATTGTTAAATTAGTAACCCGGTTGTTAAGTGAATCCGGCTTCCCTATTTACTTTGCTTGTCAGAATGTAGCAAAAGATAGTCACATGACCCCGGGACACTGCAACCGTCATAACTGTGAGTCAGTTGTCAAGCACCTGAATGTAAGTCATATGATCATGGGGAAGCTGCAAAGTCGTAAGTCTGAAAAATGGTCATAAGTCATTTTTTTCAGTGCTGTTGTAACTTTGAATGGTCACTAAGTGAAGTGTTATAAGTCAAGAACTATCTGTAAATATTCTTTGCCAATAACATATTTATGCCAATTCAATAAAATCCTGGAGTTTTTTTGGCATTATGTTTTGTTTTTTGTTTTTGTTTGTTTGTTTTGTTTTGTTAGTTACCCTAACATAGGCTAATGAGGCAGATATTAATTAAAGCAATAAGATTCAATAATAAGAATATTTACTTTAGCCACCTGGCCAAATTCTTTTCTAAAGCTTCTGTATGCATTTCATGGCGTAATATATAGTTGTTGTTGTTTTTTTTTAAAAAAAAAGAGTGACCAGCCTATTGGCCATATGGCACTGTTCTTCTCATTTGTCATTGATAGATATATTTCAATACTTCCTGCCGTCGAAATTTACAGTCAACCTCAAAAGCTTTCCAAAAACTCTGAATCAGAATTAAAAAGAAGTTGCTGGCCATAGAAATGCACAGGAGAAGATCTGATTCTGATCCATTGCCTTTCGTATAAAATTGGATTTCAACAGTGTTTTAGATTTCATTTATTTACCTTTCCAACTGCCCGTCTGTCTTTGCAAGTTTAAGTGACTCCTGTGCCTCCTTAAGAATATATTTAGGCAAAAATACCAGGCAATAGAAGCAAAAGAGCCTGAGTGGCATAGGAGGCTAATGCCTCCTAAGGCAGCATTTAACATCCAGCTGCCTGCAATTACTGGGAGTTCAATTTTCCCCAGGCTCAAGGTCGACTCAGCCTTCCATCCTTTCTAAGGTGGGTAAATTGAGGACCCAGTTTGTGGGGGCAATAAGCTGACTTTGTATAAATATACAAAAGTATGAAGGCTATTGCTTAACGCATTGTAAGCTGCCCTGAGTCTCCGGAGAAGGGCGGCATATAAATCAAATTTTAAAAAAAGTGGGGGGGACATCTGTAAGGAAACTATACAAGTCAAGATGGCGGCCATTATTTTGTGCTGAAAAGAATGCATGAAAAAAGGGAAGGGTTGGTACTTCAATTTCAGTCATGACCGCCATCTTGGTATTTTTGGACCCCCTTCTGCTATGATGCCCCTGGGGGACAACATGTGTTTTCTCCCCTCTCTTCCATTCATTCCTTTTATTCCTTTCTCCTAAAACACTGGGATGAAACATTTGAATTTGATGCAGCCAATATAACTGCTTCAGCCCCACCCAACCCCACCCAATGTTGCCATCCCACGTTCTTGAATGATAGAAATAGTCCCAGAAACTTTGCATTATATACATGCTGCAGAGAATTTATTCACATTGTATTTCCATTGAGAAAGGGGAGGAAGACCGGGTAATGATGTAGTTGTCTATTCTAAGGGGAAATGTGGATGGGAAGGGAGGAGATCTGATATTTCCTTCTGGACGATTCAGAGGCAATAAAATCAACAGAGTGTCGATCAAATTTGCAGGTGTTTTGTAGCTGGGTCTGGTTGCATCCCAGTTGCTGTAGTCCAGATGGCTCTACAGTTGGTACTTACAAATGTAAGCATTTAGATTGCCACAAAAGTTATCGTTCCACAATTTAAAACCTAAAAGGCCAAAGGTAAGACAGAAGTTACTTTTTAATTCCTTCAACAGTGGTCTGGAAAACATTGTCATTTGTTTCCATTGCATTCAAGATCTCTACTAGCCCCAATGGAACTTCCCATGAAAAGGAAAGCAAATTTTGACTTTGCATTGGAAAGGGGAAAGGGGAAAGGGGAAAGGGGGGGAGGGAGGGAGGGAAGGAATTCACATGAACATTATCCCTGATGTCACAATTCAAATAACACTCATTTTTTTATCTAGAAGTGAGAGATGCAGGCCCTGCCCTTAATTGCCAATAATAATTGAACTATACAAATAAATTTCCTGAGACAGAAATATGGAATACATTAACTATGGATACAAAAATGAAGGCATAAAAAAGTGAAAGGAAATAAGGAGTGGAACTTGCTGCTCTAATGTCTGAATTCTTTTGGCTGAACCAGGTTATTTTTTTTTCACATCAAACAGAGAATCTCACCTAATCCAAAACATTTACGCAAAAGGCAGTGAAGGTCCCACTAAGATCTTAACACAGTAACAATTACAAGCATAGCAAATCATTTCATTAATAATTTTGCTGCCCTTTCATTTCACTTGTGACCTGCTCTGTGAAGTGGCTACCACACTCTTCCTAACAAGAGGCCCAGTTCCGAGTATTCAATAAGATACAGCATGCTCATTTGAAAAAGTTTAGACCCGTTTTCTCTATACTGCTGCTTTCTAGATATGTTTGACATCTCTTCTCAGTACTCCATTGGAAAAGTTTACTCCATTGGAAAGTTTACTCTGATGCATCTGGTGGGTACCAGATTTTGAAAAGACTGAGTTATAACTGGATTATAATTATATCTTTGCCCTTGTAGAAAGCTAAACATTTCTCCTAAAGGCTATTACCGGGGGTGGGGGGAGAGAGAGAGAGAGAGAGAGAAGACATCTTTAGGTTTGAATTATGGAAAATTCCATAGGCTCCATTAAACTGACTTATGGGATTACTCCAAATTAAACAAGTAAAGTGTTGTTTTCCTGATACTCCTATCTTGAAAACCTGGTACATCAAGAAGCGAGAAATTATTGGATTAGAATTAAAACATGGTTAGAAGAAATGCTTGAACAACATATTGATTTAAAACCTGAGCTGTTCCTTTTGGGTATCCTTCCAGAGAAATTAGCAAAGAAAAAGTATATTTGATTATACATGTAATAACTGCAGCAAGGATAGTATTTGCACAAAGATGGAAGGTAGAGAAAATCCCTTCAGAAGACGAAGTAATTAAAAAAATATTAGATTGTGCAGAAATGAATGGACTGATTTTGATAATTAAAGAAAGAGAGGATTCAGAATATTACAAGGTATGGAGACAATTTTACAATTGGTTAGAGAAGAGATATAGATAAATGTATTAATAGTAAGCAAGAAAATGTTATAATAAATGAAGTATGGGGAGAATGTCATAATAAAGAAATGGGAAAAATCAAGAAATGATGATCGGAGGAGTAAGAAGAAGAAGACACAAAAGAAACACCTAGATGATACACCGAATGATTGATTATATATTGTGTGTTTGTTTATAAAATAAAATAAAACATTTTTATAAAAAAAAAAAAAGAACCACCAGGTAAGAAGTGTTTATTTTTTATTTATTAGTTCAATTTATATGCCGCCTTTCTCTGAAGACTCAGGGCGGCTTACCTGAGAATTTTGTCAGCTCCACACAGTGTTCAATCTTTCTAGAGTTGTCTGGCTGGTGTGCCATCCAGGCTTTGTAATTGTAGGTGGATTCATCAGCCCATCTCCATCGCCTTTTCTGTTGACAGAAGACCGACCACGATCACGTTTAAAAAGTAAGTAACCTTTATGATGATAAGCTAAACAGATTGGCTAGAAAGATAGAGTGGTGGGCAGTTCTTAGATCCTTGAACAAGTTCAAGCAGTCTCCTCAAATAGTTAAGTGACCATTTGTAGTGTACAAATTAAAATAAAATAAAAAATAGCAAGGTATCACATCAGTAGTGGGTTTCACTTACCTTCACTACCGGTTTGGAACTGTGAGCGTATGTGAAGAGAATCTATGATGATGTTCACGCGGATGGGCGGAGCCTCCCGCCGCTGCCGCTAACGGTTCGAAACCCACCACTGTATCACATCATACCAAATTAATGACAGTGAGTCTGGTGGAGATGGTTATGTATAACATTCAGTTCTATGAAATCATGGACCGCAGAGATGTATTTTGTTAAATATTTTGGGCGATTAAAACCATTCTTCTCCCACAGTTCATATTTACCTTAAGAGTAGAAGTGGAAGGCCGCTTGCAATGAACTTTTGTTATTACACTGTCTGGAAGAAGTGGTCCCGCCTTCAAAAAAAATGGGGAGTAAAATAGCACTGCTATTTGGTCCTAATTTAGAAGTCTAAATATCAATAGATATTAGATATCAATATCACTGCAGTCAGTGCAGGATGTAGACTAGGTGAGGCTCTAAGGTAAAGAAAGCTTGGGGGGCTCATTGTTAAAAAATTGCATGAGAAGTGCATAGCTAAATATTATTTACTGGTCATCAACTTAAAGTGAAAAACGCAAATTGTTTTCAAATAAAGGCATATATTGCTTATATATTTTTCATTCAGCTACCTTGATCTCTCTCATAGATTATAATAGAATAACCTGGAAACCAGGGGTGAAATCAGTGGTAGGATTCAAATAATTTAACAACTGGTTCTGCGCCCTAATGACCAGCTGGGTAGGCATGGCTTGGTGGTCATGTGACCATGTGGGTGTGGCCAACTCAACATCACTCACATCGATGGGCACTTCGCTTTAGCTGTTACAATGTAATAAGGGTTAACCAGAGAGGCAGTTTCTGTAAGGAGGGCAATAAAGATTAGGCTAGAAACAATACCAGAATGTTTTCTTCCTGCCTTCCTTACAGGATTAGCCCTGTAAAGTGGAAAAAAACAAAATAAGATTTCTTCCAACAGCCGGTTCTCCAAACTGCTTAGAAAGTTAACAACCGGTTCTCCCGAATAGGTGTGAACTGGCTGAATCCCACCACTGGGTGAAATCCAGGAGGTTCTGACAGGTTCTGGAGAACCGGTAGTGGAAATTTTGAGCAGTTTGGAGAACCGGCAAATACCACCTCTGGCTGGCCTCAGAGCGGGGTGGGAATGAAGATTTTGCAGTATCCTTCCCCCAGGAGTGGGGTGGGAATGGAGATTTGCAATATCCTTCCCCCAGGAGTGGGGTGGGAATGGAGATTTTGCAGTATCCTTCTCCTGCCATGCCCACCAAGCCACGCCCACAGAACCAGTAGTAAAAAAAATTGGATTTCACCACTGCTGGAAACAATACTTAAAGGATATATAGACATATAGATATATAGATACACACACACATACACACGGGTGTGTGTATAATTTATACACACATTATACATATACACAGACATGCACAAATATACAGTGTTGGCAAAATAAGTACAGAGTCAGTTTTATTTCTATAAGTAATAAAGAAGTGGTCTGCCAAATCAAAAAACTTATATCAGGTACAACTTTAAGAAAATCATTCTCGACTTCTCACTAACCTAAAAGTTTGGCAGAGGGGGGGGAAAGAAAATATATGTATAAAGAATGGGAAATATAATAATAAAGAATTGGCTTCCCTCTTCTTCAGGACAATTTCGGTCATTTATCATGTTCTCTAACATGTCAATTTAAAAATCTCTTCATCCACACTTCACTGCGAATCATTCAATGTTAATGAGTTGGAATCTTTTTATCTTTGTTAGTAAACATTACTGTTTAAACAATGGCTACACAAGATTTTACCAGCTACAGTATATATAAAATACCACATAAATTTCCAAAAGCCAAAGAGAAAAATTCTAAAATTTTGTGAGGCACTGTGGATTGTGAGATCTCAGTTTAGTGTGTGCCTAAATCCAGCACAGACTGCAGTTATGAGTACCAACAAACAATCTCTTGTTATATAGTTTATCTTGTTCCAGCATTTTTTAGACCATCGATGGATCCCTGGCCAGACTTTAGCTCCCATTCAGGCCCTTTTAATGTATACGACAGCCAACCTCCTTGTACTGCGAGACTCCCCCTTCTTGCAGGCTTGGCCCTCCACACTATCGAGGCCCTACCTCGATGACGGGTTTTGGAATCCCGAGAGGTGGCATGGCGCGAAGAGAGGGTTGAGGGGTTTTTTAAGTTTGTTTTTAGATAAGATTTTAAGGGATTTGGGGGTAACCAGAGTGGGTTTGGAGGAAAACCCACCAGGGTTGGGGCCGAGGCTGGCGGGGGGCTGCGGCATTAGAGCTGCGGGGTCAGATGTTAGGAGGGGGCTAGAGTCCAATTTTATGACGGCCGTTCTATTAGTACTGTGGGTGGGAGGGGCAGATATGGTGGGAGCAGGGGGCATATCATGTTTACACTGGTAAGATCTCATATTAAGACTTACCCAGTCGTGATAAAAGCGGCAAAATGTAACTATTTTGCCACTCTTATTGCATCATCAGATAATCGCCCGGCTGCCCTGTTTAGAGTGACCCCCTCCCTGCTCCACCAGGGAGCATGGGAGGACAGGGCCAAGGACTTTGTGCAGTATCTGTATGACAAAATCACTCAGATTCAGGAAGACTTGGACTCTGACTGGGTAGATTCAGGAGCGATGATGGAGGCAGGTCTTGAGAATGTTATCTGGGAAGAGTTTGATCCTGTGACTCCCAAAGACGTGGACAGGATTCTGGGTAGACTGAGCGCAGCCACATGTTTATTGGACCCGTGTCCCTCCTGGTTGGTGCTGGCCTCTTGGGAGATGACACGAGGCTGGCTCCAGGGGATTATAAATGCTTCATTGAGTGAGGGTGACTTTCCCGCCACCTTGAAAGAGGCGGTGGTGAGGCCTCTCCTCAAGAAGCCTTCCCTGGACCCGGCAGTGTTAGCTAATTATCGTCCAGTCTCCAACCTTCTCTTTGTGGCAAAGGTTGTTGAGAGTGTGGTGGCGCAACAGCTTCCTCAGTACCTGGATGAAACGGTTTATCTGGATCCGTTCCAGTCGGGCTTCAGGCCTGGGTACAGCACGGAAATGGCATTGGTCGCGTTGGTGGATGATCTCTGGAGGGCTCGGGACAGGGGTTGTTCCTCTGTCCTGGTCCTATTAGACCTCTCAGTGGCTTTTGATACCATTGACCATGGTATCATGCTGCACCGGTTGGAAGAGTTGGAGGTTGGGGGGGCACTATGTTGCGGTGGTTCTCCTCCTTTCTCTCCAACTGGTCGCAGTCTGTGTTGGCAGGGGGGCAGAGGTTGACCCCGAGGCGCCTTATATGTGGGGTGCCACAAGGGTCGATCCTCTTGCCCCTTCTGTTCAACATTTATGTAAAGCCACTGGGTGAGATCATCCGTGGTTTCGGGGTGAAGTACCATCAGTATGCTGATGATACTCAGCTGTACATCTCCACCCCGGACCACCCTAATGATGCCTTTGAAGTGATGTCCCGGTGCCTGGAGGCCATGTGGATCTGGATGGGGAGAAACAGACTCAGGCTCAACTCATCCAAGACTGAGTGGCTGTGGTTTCTGGCATCCCGATATAGTCAGTTGGTGCCATCACTGACTATTGGGGGCGAGTCATTGGCCCCCACAGAGAGGGCTCGCAACTTGGGTGTCCTCCTGGATTCACGGCTGTCTTTAGAAGAGCATTTGACAGCTGTGGCCAGGAGGACTTTTTATCAGGTCCACCTGATTTGCCATTTGTGTCCCTTTCTGGATCAGGACTCCTTACGCACGGTCACTCATGCCACTTGTCACTTCCTGCCTGGACTACTGTAATGCTCTCTACATGGGGCTCCCCTTGAGGAGTACCCGGAGGCTCCAACTGGTTCAGAGTGCGGCCGCGCTGGTGGTTATGGGAGCGACGTGGTGATCCCATGTAACACCTCTCCTGCGCGAGCTGCACTGGCTCCCGGTGGTCTTCTGGGTGCATTTCAAGGTTTTGGTTACCACCTTTAGAGCGCTCCATGGCTTAGGACCTGGTTACTTACTGGAGTGCCTTCTGCCACCAGTAGCCTCTCACCGGCCAGTACACTCACATAGAGTGGGGTTCTTCAGGGTGCCGTCAGCCAAATAGTGTCGACTGGTGGCCCCCAGGGGGAGAGCCTTCTCTGTGGGGGCACCTGCCATCTGGAATGAGCTCCCCCCAGAGATACGGACGATCCCGGATTTACACACCTTCCGCCGTGCCCTCAAGACCTTTTTATTTCAGCAGGCTGGCCTGGCCTAACTTCCCTTTTAAATTGTAAATTTTAAATTTGTTTTAAAATATTAGGGGTGTTTTAATTTGTTTTGGGCCAAATTATTTAATGGGTTTTTATATTGTCTTTTAAATTTTGTAGTTTGTGTGTTTTATCTTTTTGGCTGTTCACCGCCCTGAGTCCTTCGGGAGTAGGGCGGTATATAAATCCAATAAAATAAAATAAATAAATATATCAGCAAGTAGTTAACCAAAAATAACAAAATAATGTTTATAAAATTACTAAGTAAAGAATGAAATACATAGACCAAGAATTTTTAAAAAATGAAATGAAAAATGTCAGGCTCACCCCAGAGATATCACGGAGCCCCATCCAGACATGGCTAGAGGATCCCTGTTTGTCTTTGACGTATGCAGACACCAGCGAGGATTCTTGAGAGCTGAGGATAGAGGCGAGATGACATCCTGGGCCATAGCTCTGGCACTCAAGCTAGGAACACAGAGAGGACAAGAAGTTGCACTCCATGCTCATGGATGGGATAGTCGCAAACTTTAACCCTTGCACATCTCCATTTGTGCAATTTTGGTTTCTGGTCTGTGGTTCTTACCTCAGCATCATCCCAACTTAGTCGCTGATCAAAATATCCGTAGCAGTTCCCTTGTTTCTGCAACCAGTCTCTGTTGCATGATGCAGCCTTGGCTGTAGGGAGACAAAAGGAGGAAAAATAAATGATAGATAATTGGGATAGATTCAGGGGTGAAATGCTCCCGGTTTGGACTGGATCGCCAGATCCGGTAGCGATGACGGCGGGTGGTTCAGAGAACCAGTAGCAAAAATTCTGCCTACCCCCTATGCCTAGCTGAGTTTCTCAATCATCAGAATCTTTTTTTTTTTACTTTTAAAAGCATTTTTTCTTTGGCTGAAAAAAATGCTTTTAAAAGTAAAAAAAAAAAAAGCCTCTGATGATCGCATGGCTCAGCTGGGATCTGAGCCTTTTAAAAGGGGTTGTAGAAAAAATGCTTTTAAAAGTTTTTTTAAAAAGTTGGCCATGCCCACCCAGTCACATTACCACCACCCCACCAAGCCATGCCCACAGAACCGGTAGTAACAAATTTTACATTTCACCACTGGATAGATTGCAGATGTCCATGAATGGAATCTCTTCAGTTGGGAGTAGACACGATTGGAAGGGTTGAGGGCTATGGTTTAGCAAGAAGAGAAGTTTTTCTGGTTTGAGGGATAGGATTTCAAGATGGAGCAAAATAATCCAAGGACACAAAATACTTCCACTTCAGATACAGATTAACAGAGTTAGAAGGTACCTGATAGGTCATCTAGTCCAACCCCCTGCCTAAGCAGACCCTACACCATTCCTGACAGATGGCAGTCCAGCCTATTCTTGAAAGCTTCCAGTGATGAAGCTCCCACAACTTCTGAAGACAAGCTGTTCCATTGGTTGATTGCTCTCACTGTCAGAAAATTTCTCCATATTCCCAGGTTAAATCTCTCCTTGTTCAGTTTCCATCTATTATTCCTTGTCTTGGTTATAGATATATCGGAAAACAGTTATATAGATATATTGGAAAATAGTTTGACCCCCCTCCTCTCTGTAGCAGCCCCTCAAATATTGGAACACTGCTATCATGTCTCCCCTGATCCTTCTCTTCACTAGACTAGCCATACCCAGTTCCTGCTACCGCTCATCGTATGTTTTAGCCCCCAGTCCCCTAATCATCTTGGTTGCTCTACTCTGCACTCTTTCTAGAGTCTCAACATCTTTTTTATAGTGTGGTGACCAAAACTGGATGCAGTATTCTAGGTGTGGTCTTACTAAGACTTTATAGAGTAGTATTAGTACCTCCCTTGATCCTTTACAACCTTGAAAGTGGCCCAAAATCTATTTTCCAGACCAATTTTAAGGCCCTCAAGGGGGTTGGAAGAATATTAGTGCCCAAAGGTTCCCCTAATCTTATATTCTGCCTTAAAACACACCCAAAATCTCATATGGACAATCCTAAATCACTAAAACTGCCACATTGGAATCATTGAGAAAGGTTTCAGTGTCTGAGGGAGAAAATTATTATTACTATTCCTGCCCTTCAGATGGAAAATTACATTTAAACATGGAAACTGAGAAATTGTCTGAAGTAGTGTAGGGTTTCCTGCCTAAGCAGGGGGTTGGACTAGAAGACCTCCAAGGTCCCTTCCAACTCTGTTATTCTATTCTATTCTATTCTATTCTATTCTATTCTATTCTATTCTATATCACATTGCTGAAATGCTGTATATCCATTTTATTAGTGTGCTTCAGCAGTACAGTTTCAGAATGCTGGGGACAGCGTGAAAATTCTGTCCTGTATTTTGCATATGAAAATATCTGAAGACAGTATTTATTTTTCTAAGTTGTTTAATTTGCTATGTTCACCATATCATGATTAATAGGGGGGGGCTCACCTCCCAAAAAAGGATTAGTGATCAATATTCCAAGGCAACAGAGGCCGATGTACATAGAGAGTCCCATCTTTTGGCTGCCCTTTAGAAGAAAAGAGAAGCAGATGTGACAGAAGAATTAATAGAACAACATTTATATTAGCTTACTGACAAAGAAAGGAAATTTTGGAGTTCCATAGTTTAATGTTGAGCCTCGTCAACCTGCAAACTTTTCTGTTGTGCTTCCTAGCATACAACTCATGAAAAGCTTTATTGCTATTTCAAAATCCCATCTTCTTATTGCAAAGCCAGATCACAGAACAGATAACAGAGAATATTTAATCAATACTTACCAAGAATCCCTTCAGCCTCTCACCTTGCAAAGTTTTTCAACTGGGGAGGTTGAAGAACTTTGAGTTGGTGGACGTTTGGACTGGTGGATTCACACTTTCAGAGCTACCATTAAATAGTCTCCAGATAGGCCTGGCCCAACATCAAAATGGACAACTTTCTTCAAGGATTTCTTGGTCCACCCTCTTCATTTTCCATTAACTGATAGGAAAGCAAGTGAAACTGAGGTCAAAAGATAATTGGCTACATTTCAAGAAAGAAAATGGGAAGCAAACACCATCCTTCATTAAACATGATCATATTTACTTGATTTCTTTATTCTGTTGGTTTTAACTCTCATGATTTCTAACATATGTTATGTCAAATATTAACACAATTAAGGAAAATTCCATTGGATATACCCTGAAGGGAAAAAAGACACTATTGTTCCACTTTTGCTTTATATAATTTTTATTAAAAGTGCTATAAGGAATATAAAAGCTAACCCAAGCTAATAAAAGCAAAAGAAGAAGCAAAGATAAAAGAAGTTAGAGAGAGAAGAAAGAGAAGACAAAGAGTGCAGAAAATCAAAGCAAAAAAGAACAGAAAATAGTACCTTCCAATTTCTTCTGCAACATATTATATTTTGACTCTTACTTTATGATTACACAAAAAGAACTCAGTTTTTCTTTTTCTATAATCTAATTTTATTCTAATTATCCAAAGGACAAATCATAAGATATCCATGTCAGGCCATTATAAGCAGGATAATGAAGCTTACTGAGAAAATTTAATCTTATGGAGTTCCTCTGTGCATTCACTTATTTCATACTCATGACATAACTATATCTCCTTTTCACCATTTGTGTCTACTATGCCTCCCCAGCTTCTTCAGATGCATTCTGCCACAGGGAATAGTTAACAGTATCAAAGGAATCTTTATGGGCTCTTCCATGAGAAGCTGAGCTTGCATGAGGCCGAGGTAAGACCTGAAATCTCTAAGAAAGCTGTGGAGAATATGGGATGAATGAAACATCTAGGCCTCAGGTGCTTCCCTCTTGTCAGGTGCCAAAGCTATGGCTATCCTCATGAGGTTTTCGCTTCATGATTGCATCTAAACAATCTTCATCCTGGAGTGATGTCATCAGGAAGAGATCCATGCTGTTACATCCAGACGCTCTTTTTTAAATCATAAAATATATTAATTACATGAGCAGTTTCTGTGCTCATCCGCTTCCTTTGAATTTGGCACCACGCATCACTAAATCTCTGGCATAGTTGTTGCTTGAAGGTCATTATCTGGATTTCCTGCATTTTCTTACATCCTGCATTTTCCTGCATCCCAAATTCTCTGCATACAGTTCCTTTTCAATTACCAAAATAAAGGTGTTTATATATATCAGGGTAATCTATGTATCTCATGCCATAAAGTATTATAGTCATAAATGGTGGTCGAGTAATTGTGTTTGCTAAAATAGATATTTTGAGCATCAAATGTTCCATAGCTCTAAATTCCATTATAAAACCAACTTATTGTGCAGGAGAAATGGCTAAGCTAACTTAAGCCAAACAATGTCGGCTGTCGGCCCCTAGGGGGAGAGCCTTCTCTGTGGGGGCACCGACGATCTGGAATGAGCTCCCCCCAGAGATACGGAGGATCCCGGATCTGCGCACCTTCCGCCGCGAGTTGAAGACGCTTTTATTTCATCAAGCGGGCCTCGCCTAAATCTTCTCCCTTTTAAATGTAAATTTTAAATTTTTAATGTATTTTAAAATTAGGGGTATTTTAAATTATGGGTATTAATTCAGCCAAATTTATTTAATTCATTTTTATTCGATTTTAAATTTTGTATATTTATGTGTTTTATTTCATGGCTGTACACCGCCCTGAGTCCTTTGGGAGTAGGGCGGTATAGAAATTCGATAAATAAATAAATAAATAAATAAATAAACTTCTTTGATTAGAGAAAATAAAAGTCTATATGTATGTATGTATGACTGAAAACTCCTTATAGATTTTTTTTTGCATGGAAGAGAAAAAAAATGCATTTATTACTTATGGTTTTGATGATTAGAAAAATACTAGATTATAAAAAAGTGAGCTCTTTTTTTGGTAATCATAAAGTAAAGTCATAAAATAAGAGTACATTATAAATATAATATTTGCTGCAGAAGAAATTGGAAAGGTTTTTTTTTTGTCCCAAATGTGTCCCAAAAGAATCTCTACTGACTTTAAGCTTCTTTTTTCTTTTTCTTTTCCTTCTCTCTTTCTGGAGTACTTCTCTTCTCTTCCTTCTTTCTTTCTTCTTTATCTTTGCTTCTTTTGCTCTTTCTTACTGTGTTTCTCTGAAAATAAGACCCTGTCTTATATGTTTTTGAACCCTGAAATAAGCACATGGCCTTATTGCCATGTGCTCAAAAGCCCAATTGGGCTTATTATCAGGGGATGTCTTATTTTGGGGGAAACAGTAGCTTTTGTTATCTTTTATATTTCTTGTAAAACATTTAATAAAATTTATAAAATTTATAATTTATAAAATGGAAGCAAAGTTGTTGCTAGTTTGGTTATCCTGGTTAGGCCCATATATAAGAGACTGTAGGCTTTCTTGTAATAGTAATATTTATTTCTTTGTGTTCCTCAGGAACACAATTAGACAGGCACTAATCTGGGAGGAGCAAGAACTTATATACAGAGAAGGCGGGGCTAATGGTAAGTACTAACCAATGGTAAGTGACACAATGACATCACACAATGACATATAAACAAGCACACATATTTACAGATATCAGGTTAGGTATTTTCATCTGTAACAAATCCCCCTCTAAAATACCTAACTAATGGTGGGTTATTAAGATTATATATGCACATCAAGTTTGGAAGTCAAATACATATGTTGTTTGGTCGGCAATGGCTTAGTGAGGATATCAGCAATTTGTTCACTAGTATTGCAATGGATAGCTTTAATAAATCCTATACTTGACAGTTGTCTTACATGTTTATATTTTATATCGATATGTCGAGATCGTTGACCTATTGCTTCGGAAGCTGATATATCAATTGCTGCCTTATTGTCCTCATTGATAATAATTGGATAAACAGGTTCATCCCACACATTGGTTAACAAGTCATCGAACCAAGTTAGATTGTTGACCGCTTTGGATAAACAAACATATTCGGCTTCCGCTGTGGAAGTGGCAATTAAATTCTGTTTGCCTGTGTACCAGTGCACCGCACAGCCATTTATAAGAAAAACATATCCAGAAGTACTTTTTCTGGTTTTTGAATCAGTAGCCCAATCAGCATCAGCGTAGCAGGTCAAAGTTGGTTTTTCAGAAATGAATGGTTCTAAGAATAAGCACATATCAATGCTAGACTTTAGATATTTTAGAATCCTCTTAATTCCTTCCCAGTGGTATGAGTTAGGATTGCTTACATGTCTTGACAACAAATTTACAGCAAGGGTGATATCAGGCCTGGTCCAATTAGATATGTATAATAAGGACCCAATAATTGATCGATATAATGTGTTATCCTTGAATGGTTCGTACTCATTATACACATTCCTATAAAAATCAGTTGACATAGGAGTATCACAAATTTTTGAATTAATTAAATTACATTTTTGTATGAGTTCCATAATCTTGTCTTTCTGAGATAATTTGAACCCCTTATCTGTTTTGTCAATTTGGACTCCTAGATACTTATTTACCTTTCCTAATATTTTTAAGTTGAAATTTTTGCCTAGTTGTTCAGCGAAATTATCACATTTAATTTTGTCGTGTCCAAAATACAATATATCATCAACATAAATCAAAACATATTCAATAGAATCATTATTTTTTTTTGTGAAAAAACAAAAATCAGATGAAGTAGCTACAAAACCCATATTTTTAAGTATCTTTGATAAGCACTCATACCACCGCTTACCGGACTGTTTTAGTCCATAAAGGCTCTTGTTTAATAGCCAAATTTCTCCCTTTTTTGTATCCTTTCCTGGGGGTGCTTTCACATAAATTTCTTTATCTAGATCAGCGTGCAGATAGGCTGTCTGCACGTCAAATTGATATACTTCCAGATTTAAGATAGAAGCTAACACTAGTGCTGTTTTCACGCTTTCTGATCTAACGGTTGGGGAGTAAGTGTCTTCATAGTCATCCGGAAATCTTTGGGCAAAGCCTTGAGCCACCAACCTGGCTTTGTATAGGAATTTACCATCCTCTAGCTCCTTGATTTTATAGATCCACCTAGTGCCAATAGGGGATTTCTCAGTGGGCAGGTCTGTTGGTGTATATACATTTAGTTCTCTCAAACTGTCCATCTCTTTTTTCATTGCTTCCTCCCACTTACTTTTTTCTTCTAGGGGTAGCTTAAGTATGTCATTATATGTGTTAGGAGTCAGGTGTTTAGCTTGGATAGACAGTACGTAATCATCTAATCTTTTAGGAATTATGCCCCTATTGGATCTAATGGGCCTATTCTGGGGATGTTCATCGCTATGCATATACTTAGCTTCTTTTTCGGTTAATTGATCTACTTTCAAAGTGGGGTGTCCTTTTTTCCATTCATCATTAACTATTACTGGGCATTTGATTCTGTTAGTAGATGTGGATTTGGGGTTCGTATCTGATGTGTGATGTTTTGCGTGCGTGTGTGTAATATTTTTTGATTCTGGGTAAATTTCATTGAGATGTAATTTTGACCAGTTCATGTGTTCATGAAACACGGCAGATCTGGATACAATGAAGTGATTATTTTTATCAATGAAGCGATATCCCTTGGTTCCTGATTCGTACCCCATAAATATCAGTCTTTTGGATACTTTCTCTCCTTTGCGTCTTAACTGTGAGGGCACATATACATCAGCAGATACACCAAATACGTGTAAATGCCCAATTTTTGGTTTCCTTCCATACATGAGTTTGTATGGGGTCTTATTGATTGTACTGGACCATAAGCGATTTATAGTGTAATTGGAATAATTAAGGGCTTCAGCCCAGAATGACTGGTTTAAACCAGCATCATCTAACACACATTTAACCATGGTTTGTAGCAAACCATTCTTCCTTTCAGAGACTCCATTTTGGAATGGGGAAAATGGACAAGATTTAAAGTGCAATATTCCTTGTGATTTTAGCCAAATTGAAAATTCGTTGGATAGGAATTCCGACCCCCCTGTCAG